TTGTTATAAAAAAATAAAAATTATTTTTAATTTTATCAAATGTTCAGTTAAATATTTTCATATAATATTAATGTTAAAAATAAAATTTTATTGTTATTTTATCACATAAATTAACATAAAAAATGTAATTAATGCAATGTGAGCATGTAAATTAAAATACCCAAAAACTATAAAGTTGCATCATGCAAGGATTTTAACATTTTTTTATCATTTATTATTCCAATGGATTTTTATTTTTTTGCAAAAATAATTTTTCTCATGAACTTATTACATGTATTAGTGTATAGATGGAATATAATCAGATTTTTATTTTAATTATGTTATGGTTCTGAATTTAAGCAAATAAAAAAATTATTTTAAAATTAAAATATATACCGTATGAGCAAAGGCAAGGCAATAATAATACAAAGTGCTGAAAGTGAAAAGAATCAAAAAAAGAAAAAAGAAAAAACAAGAACCAATCCATGCCACCCACAAGAAGATATTGAACCTCTACAGTACATACACCCTTCAATCTGATGATCTCACAAATGAGAAGTCAGATTGACTCCTCTCCATTTCATGTCGTGTTTGTGTTGGGTTAGGCTCTGGAGATGTTTCTGAGGAGCTAGCCTCAAGAACCGTCCTCTGTGCATCCGTCATCTCTAATTCCTTGTTATGCAAGGACTCACTGATTCCATTGTCGTGATGGAAATGTAATGATTCAGGATCCCAGTTCTCATCGTTAAAGTTAGGGTTACTTGGAGAATTATGGTAGCTCTCGGTGCTCCGAGGGTTGTTCCGCTAGAGGAGATGAACTGGGGACATACCGTGAGTTGGTGTTGCTGGCCTGCTCGAAAATGGCGTTGTAGACGCAGAACGGTGGCCGTGTTTGGTGTGTTTCTTGGCCTCGTGGTGCCAGCTCTGGACTGCAGCTGCTACTCTCTCATGGAAGATTGTTGGCCTCATTGTTGATCCCATCTGTATGTCGAATTCAACCAGGAAATTAAACGATGAATGCGTTGTTTTAAATGGTAAAAATTCTGAAAGTTTCTGTTTTCTTTCTTTACCTGAGTCACCAGGGCGTAGAGAGGAAGGGTTACGTAGCTGCAAAGAACTTGTATGATGACCCTGGAAAAGTCGTAGATTTTGCAAGTTTAATTATTAGCAATTTTGCGAATCAGAAATCCCCCTTTTAAAAAAAAAAAATCTTTTTTTAAGTTTTAGGAGTAACATGCACTAACCCTATTGAGATTCTGAGGATGATAGCAGCTGTACTCTTGTGGAAGCAAGACTTTATGGTAAATTCATACTGAAAAATGACACAGACGATATCAATTAGCATTGTGATAGGGTGTACTTAATTGAATCAATAAAAAATATTTTCAGAGCTTTGTTATGGTAAAGAAGAAGATCTTACCGTGCTCCAGATGAAAAAGGCCAGCTGAAATGCATTCTGGAAGAGAACCAAGTGAATGAGGAAAAGAAGAAAGCGGGGGCGTCCGAACCAGAAGAGGTCATCATCTGGCTGGACTAAAGGTGCACCCTTGACCACATCTCCTCTGTCTTGAATCCTCAGACCCATTTTTGTTATGATCACTTGCAGCTTGGTTCCAACCAATAGGATTATCTGCAAAAAAGGAGAAAAGAAAATCCCAAATTAACAATTTGTCACCTTCTGCTCAACAATTGATACCAGACTAATCTGTGGTATGTTACTTACAATTAGGGGGATAAATGGTAGCCAATAATGAGCATACCCTCCTGTCAAAAAAGAAATTGGTAATTAGACAAAACACAAAAGCCGGTATCTTTCTGAAGTTTGTTCATACCAAGATATAGTAATTACCATTTGTATTCGACAGAAGGAACAACACAGCAACGAACCATATAATAGGACTGCAGGTAAAATTATTATATCAGCATATTCTGTTCACATGAAAAATGCAATGCTTTATGTATATATATCAAGAGTACAGAAAAGCTGACCTAATTCCCACAACCACTTTAAAATCCTCTTCTAGTGATCTGTCGATGTATTTCTGAAAATCGAATCTTGTTTGACTTCCGGGTGCCAGATGTGCCTGGAAACAATATGGAACAGAATATGGATTATTGAGATTCCAGTTTAGAACACACATCGGATGGAAAATCGTTCCGTTTTCTTTAACTGCATACATTATTTTCTAAGTGTTTAACTTACCGTGATAAATCCATGTCTCAATGTCAGGTAATCAACCTTGTTAAATGACCCAAAGAATTGTCTGAAGAAACACACCTAACAGAAATTAAGCAAAAGAATCATAAATTTTTTGGCCCTGGAAAAATATGAAGAGGACTGCTGGACTAGTAAAAGAAGAGTGAAGTATTTACAATCCAAAGGGAAAATGAAGACTTGCTCCAGAAATTCAAATGTCTGCGTCCAAAAGATGTGTCCCTTGCAAACCTAAACCTCTCAGGATCTGCATTTCAGAATTCTAGTCATTCATTTTTTGTACAATATAAGAACAATACTATAATTTAAAAAGAAAAGAGGAAAATGCCTAATACCATTGTAGTATTGGTATTCAATTGTCTTTGTTTCATTCTCCCAAACCTTCCATCTCCTCATCTACAATCCCAGCGAGAATTTAGAATGGGAAGCAAAGAGAAACAAAGATTCAAATTGACATTACAATGTCTTCATTAAGTAAGTACCTTGGTTTTTCCCAAAGCATAGGTGGTGATGCAATAAAGGATGTGGACAACAGCCAAAACAAATATGAAAATATGGAGCTCATGGATAGCAGAAGCAGACATAAAAGCAACTTTGCCCTGCAACATGTATTCAAGTCCATGAACAATTTAGAAAGTCATACAAAAAAAGTTTTAATATTGTTCTGTTTGACTTCAAATTCAGGACATGGTTTGTGTGTAACTTGCCTTTGCAGAACATTTGTCCTCTGTTGCTCCTGCTAAACTGCGGCGAAAAATGTCAGAGCTGAAATCAGAGAATTCAAGCAGTTTTCTACCATAACTTTCAGAATCAGAAGATTTATATATTTTCTCTTCATCCTCCTTACTACAGGGATGCCAAGTTGCTGCCATACTTGCAGGTATGCAAGTATCAGATATGGGACCCTGTAGAACTGTTAGGAGAAGGGATATAAATCCCATGAGCATAAGCTCTTCACCCAAAAAAAAAAAAAAAATGAAAACCCATAATCAAAGTACCCATCTTTCTTCACATTTTAGAAATGAAATTAAGATTAAGGGTTTCCCAATTAACTAACCAAAAACCCTTTGAAATTAAGAACGGGTTTCTTCACACCCTTGTTCCGGCGTACTATAATTCGAGTCAATTCTGGAATGTAATGCCCTGAAAATTTCATGAAAGAGTATAAACCCAAAAATAAAATGCCAAAATTAGAAAAATTCTCGAATTCAAATAGAAACAAACCAGCGTAGCTTTCTCCGGCGATAAAGAAAGGCCTGTGCTTGTACTGAGGGAACCTCTCCAACCATTTGATCAAAAATGTGTAAGCTTCTCCACCTGCATGAGTTCCCACGTACAATAAAATATTAGCAGTCAGGATTAGGCTAACCAACTGTTTGACAAAACGCCTGCATGGACATGACCAAGTCTCATGTGGACGAGTCAGACGACCAACTTCTTGTCTGTAAGAAACAAAACGTACCCGTCCTCTTGTCGCCGACGGTGTACAAACCCGCCGACGTATTCGAATACGAAAATCCGACCCCCGCCGGCGAATCAAGAAATAACAAATTTGCCTCTGCAAAAGTAAAATTTATAAAGAGACTGAGTAAGCTAGAATCATAATAATTAACATGTTAATGAAAAAATTAAAATCTATTAATAAGAGTATTAGTGTCATTTAAGTGGAGAATTTTCAACTTTTTTGTTTAAATTTATAAACACCTTAAAGAAGATGAATAAACGGTTAAAATTCAACAATCAGATGATTCAGATTTACCTTTATTCCAAGCGTAGGGATTCAGGGAAAGTGTTTTGCCGTCTGATTGAACACGGAAGGGTCCAACCTCCTCAGAGGCCCCATAAGCGATTGATGAACAGCCAGGCCCACCATTGAGCCACAAGACCAGTGGCTTTGATGTGGGCCGGCTCTTTTCCGGGACCTGAATCAACCAGTAAAAGAGGGCCCGGCCTGCCTTTGCATCCACAGTGATGTAGCCAGAGTACTGAGAGAAGCTCACATTTGGAGGCTGTCCTGGCAGCTTGATGATCCTATCCTTCTCCTGTTGCACCTTAACATTCCGACCTACGCCGGCGGTGGATAAAGAGGTCATAGAAAGCAAGAGGACTGCGAGGAGGAAAGAGGTGTTGAAAATGTGAGGACTCATCATTGGGAATGGAATGCGGCTTTCTATGGAGAAATGTTCATGGTGGAGTGGTTTAATATACTATGGGTTGTTTGTGAACTTTGACTTGAATCTCTAACCACTTTATGTTTTTATTTCTGTTTGTGTGTTTCGGGGTCAACATGAATTGCTTAAACGTGGGGAATTCTTTATATATGGGGATGCTTCCTTTTTCTTCAATTCATGAGATCACAATCCCAAAGTCAATTTATCTTGTTTAGGATCTTGACTACTTCTTTTTAGGCAAATTGGTTTTGTTTGGTTCAACTAAGGCTTGCATTTGCATCTAGACTTGTAAAGCCATTTGAAGTTTCAACAATGCTTTGATTTTAGGTTGGAGTTTGGTGTACGAAAACAATTCATGACCTCATACCATTTATCTCATTTATATTATAAGATGTTGTGACTTTAATTTACAATGATATTAGTACATCTTATAATATATTTTATATATAAAGAAGAAAAAATTAAGATATTTTGGTATTAAAAATATTAGAATATCTAATCACAATCATTAAATTTGTGGGGGTATAATATGAAATTATGTATCCTAATTTTAGCGAATTCATCATATAACTATTATTAAACGTTTTAATATTTTTAAGATCAATATATCCTGATTTTTTTTCCCACATATATATATATATATATATATATTCTCCCTTTCCAAGTATCTTCTTTTCTTTTCAATGGAGACACTTCTTAATAGCATTTACACAACTAGCATA